CCATAGTACTCTACCAAGGGCAACAAAATAAGACTCTGTCTCAAAAAAGAAAAAAAGAAGAAGAAAGAAAAGAAAAGTAATTCCTCTGTCTTGTTTGCAACATTTCAAACTCTGGAGAGCCACATGTTCCCGGTGGCTGCTATATTAGACAGCACATGTACACCCTTTCCATCTTGGCAGAACCTTTGTTTGGACAGCACCAAGCTGGACAACCTCTGAAGAAGATGCCCCAGAAATAGTCTGGAACTCGGGATCTCTCCTGATGGCCTGCTCACCTTGTATCTAACCCATTGGAGTGAGGAGTAAGGGCCCAGAGCAGGAACTGGGGCCTCCAGATTGTGAGGTGGACTTGCTGTGTGACTTCCTATGAGTCACTTCCTTCTCTGAGCCTTCCATTCCTCAACTAACATGAGGGAGTTGGCTGAAGCTACCAATGTCAATGCCCCTTGCAGCCTTGGCTGCCTGTGATTCATGGCCCTGTGTGTCACCTGGGGACACTTAGATGGCAGGGAGGGTGAGAAATGGACACACATGGGTATAATGCAGGGCGACGACCCTCAACATGCACAAGGGCTGGTCACCAGAACACTAAGAGCCCACTGCCATAGCTGTGGAGTGGACTCCAGCCATAGGGCAACAGGCTATCACCATCTCTGCCTCCTGTACCCAGCTGGCTGTTTCCCTCTTTTCCTGCTTGTTGATACATGTATGTCTTGGTCTTGGCACCTGTTCCCCACACGCACACACTTGGTCAGTCTCTGTCTCTCCCACTCAATCTCCTTTATCTTTCTGTCTCCCTTCTTCCTCTTCCTCATTCTAGCTTTTTTCATGTTGTCACTCCAGGTATGCATTTCCTCTTTATTTCCTCTCTCTCAGTCACAGTGACAATCACCTATTATCCTGCCACCCGCAGGCTCCCCAGGGAATGAATGGTACCTTCTCCCACCACCTGGAAAGTCGCCTTGGCACTGGGGACCTGGGGAATTCCCACGAAATCCAGCTCCAAAAAAGGTGTTTGGGGCACAGGGAGAAGCCTGTATTCCAGGAGCCCCTCCCTGAGCTGGAATCTGGGACCCGGGTCAGGTGTTAGCCCCACCCGCGGTATAATTAGGCAGAGGGAAAGGGAGGGAGTGAATCCCTGGGGGGAGGGTGGGGAAGCTTCTCAGGGATTAAAAGGGAAGGTCTGGCCAGGGGTCCCAGGACAGAGGATTCTGGCGGCCCACACGGCTGGGCAGAGGCAACTCTTCGTCCTCTCCCTCCTTCCGATCCGCGATTCCCAGGTGAAGCGGCGTGCACCTCACCCTGGTTGGGGCAGATTGCGAGAGGATGGGTGGAACCTCCATCAATTTCCCTCTCTGCGGGCGGTGGAAGTCCCCCAGCTGTGAGACTTTGGAAGAGGGTCCCACTAGCTTGGAACCTCGGATCCCTACTCCCACGTGGGAAGGAGGGTGAAAACCTGCTCGCGCTGCGGGGCAAGCCCCGGGAAGAGCCCGGGGAGGAGAGCGCTCCCCTCGGGCGTAAGGATGGGAAGACGCAAAGAGGGGCGTCATTAGGATAATTGCTCCCATTACCGCTGTCCCAGCTCAAATCATTCCTCTACAGTTATTGGCTGCAGGTCAAACAGGTTCCCAAAAGCTGGGATGTCCCGTGCTGGGCAGATGGGCACAGCGAGAGGTGGGTCTCTGACAGAACATCTGTCTTAACCACCCCCTACCCGCAGCCCAGGTCCCGGCCATGAGACCTCCGCACCTTCACCTCTCCGCCGCCTCCGGCGCTCGGGTCCTGGCGAAGCTGCTGCTGCAGTTACTGATGACGCAACTCTGGGGTGAGGCGGGGGACAGGGGGCGGCGAGAGGCGGGGGCAGAAGGAGTGTGTTCCAGTCACCAACCCCAACGCATTTCTCCTCCCCTCGGGACCCCAGCACCCACCCAGAGATCTGGAGCAGGGCCCACCCCCAAATCAGCCGGGCCTCCGTTACAAAGCAGTCCCTGGTGTTCCCCCAACCCGGTCAGGCCCCACCCACCCGGTGCCACCGGACTGCTCTGCCGCTCTACTCCTAGCCCTTTCTTTCTCCGCACTCTCCCCTTGTACTCTGTTCTATTTTATCCCAAGTCTTGCCTTACGGCTTTGTGCTCTCGCCCCCTTTTCCATTCGTTTTGTCATTCCCATCCCTTCTCCTCCCAAACCTGTCTCCCGTCCCCGTCCTCTTATCTCCCGGCCGTCTGCCTGCTAGCTCCCTTCTGCGATCAGTCTTGCCTCCGGACCCGCCCTGTCCTGTGATCCACTCCACCCGATCCCCGCCTCCTTCCACTTTCCCGCTGTTCTGCCTACTTCCACCCGGGACTCCAAATTCTCCCCTCCCGCCCTCACGGACTGGCCGCACGCCGCAACCCCCACAGTGCGGTCCCATGGCTCAGCTGCGATGCAGCCCTCATCCTGCGTGATCTGATGCCTGCCCTGTCTTTGTCCAGCAGCCGAGGCGCTGCTGCTACCCGGAAACGACACTAGCTTGGACCCCGCAGCCTCTGGAGCCCCGTGCGCGCGCGGCTCACAGCCCTGGCAGGTGTCCCTCTTCAACGGACTCTCGTTCCACTGCGCGGGCGTCCTCGTGGACGAGAATTGGGTGCTCACGGCCGCGCACTGCTGGAACAACAAGTAGGAAGAGATCCTCAAGCACTTCACGAAGAGGGCCGAGGAGGCAGCCTTCGGGAAGGGTCGGGGAGGGCTGGGGTCCTTGGAGCTCTCCCTGGAGAGCCGGCGTAAGGATGGGAAGACAAAACGAGGGGCGTCATTAGGGTAATTGCTTCCGTTACCGCTGTCTCAGTCCAAATCCTTGAATGACCAGGTGGGGTCAGTCCTGGGGGGCTTCCTGTAGGAGGAAATACGCAGCTAGTGCTGTGGCCACCAGGGGGCGGTGTGGCCCTTCCCAACATTTCATTCCTGGGCCCATCACTCCTGTCTCGCTGATTCTCCAAGGGTTCTATTGAGGGTTGTACCAATAGACAGGAATCAGACTCTGATGTGATCAGGAATTAAGAACTAAAGAAAAAATTCATTTTAGGAGTCCCCATTGAAGGAAGAAGGGCTGGATGCCATTACATAGAAAACATAGGGTGGGCTTAATCAGGAGTCCCAGTGCCCTAGCTCTCAATTCCTGGAGAACCCAGGAGCTCAAATACATCATACCTCCTCCCTATATCCAAGAATCCAGGTCTGCAGCCCCCTTCTCCCCCAACCCATTTTACCTCTAACCCTTCCTATCTCAGGACCCAAGCATCTGAATCCCAGGAGGGTACAGGGAGTGGTAGGGGACAGATCCTGTGAAGGCTTTACTTCTGTGTGGCTCTTCCCTTTCCCAGGCCACTGTGGGCTCGAGTCGGGGATGACCACCTACTGCTTCTCCAGGGCGAGCAGCTCCGCCGGACCATCAAGTCTGTTATCCACCCCAAATACCACCAAGGCTCAGGCCCTATCCTGCCGAGGCGAACAGATGAGCATGACCTCATGCTGCTGAAGTTGGCCAGGTCTGCTGTGCTGGGACCCCGTGTCCAGATCCTGAGGCTTCCCTATCGCTGTGCCCAGCCTGGAGACCAGTGCCATGTGGCTGGCTGGGGTACTACGGCCACCCGCAGAGGCAAGAGTTGGGAGCCCTGATGGCTGTATCTTGGAGGAGTTAGGCTGGAGGCTGGGATCCCTGAGTCTGAGGGCAGAGGGGCTGGGGGCCTGGAACCCTTGGTCTGAGTAAGGAGGGCTGGTGTCCTGGGACCTGGAATTAGAAGTCTTGTATTTGGACTGCTGGGTCCCAAAAGATTGGGGGCTGGATTTAAGGATTACCTGGCATTTTCTCCCATCAGTGAAGTACAACAAGGGCCTGAGCTGCTCCAGGGTCACCCTCCTGAGCCCTAAACAGTGTGAGGTCTTCTATCCTGGTGTGGTCACCAACAACATGCTATGTGCTGGACTGGACCAGGGCCAGGATCCTTGCCAGGTAAGATCTGTCTAGGGAAAGGCTCTGACATATGGGAGAGAAGACAGGCAGATTATGGAGGAAAGAAAAGACCGTGGCCCTACCCCCCAACTCTGTTCCCAAACCACTCCCCAGTCTCACACACCCCCATCCCCATCCTCAGTCCTGCTCCCATCTTTAAGCCATCTCCATCCCTTTCCACAGAGGCATCTCTACCCCTCACCTAGTGTTGACTCCAATCTCATTTCCTCCCCAGCTCTCATACCCAGCCCAGCCCATAACCCCAAGTCCACCTCCATTCCCAGCACCACCCTCCAACATCCCTGATTACAATCCCTGACCTCATCTTTACCCAAGTCTATCCCATCCACTCCTTTCCCCATCTCTGCCCAGTCCCCATAGTGGCACTCTCATGTTGGCATATTTATTTTATCTCTTCTTTCTCCCACCCTCAGAGTGACTCGGGTGGCCCCCTGGTCTGTGATGAGACACTTCAGGGCATCCTCTCATGGGGTGTTTACCCCTGTGGCTCTGCCCAGCACCCAGCTGTCTACACCCAGATCTGCAAATACAGCCCCTGGATCAAGAAGATCATAAGCTCCCACTGATTCAGATGCCCAGAAATCCCTTCGCCATCTGTCCTCTTCCTCCCTGTACTGCTTGAACCTCTGCCACCCGGGTCTGAGGAAGGAGGACCTATTAATGTCTCTCTTCTTCCCTCATCCCCCTACCCCTTCCCATCCTCTGCCTACACTAAAGCCAAAGTGGTGGCAGAGGTTTATTCAGGAAAAGCAAGGAAGCCGGTGGTCACCCATTCTCTGTGAGAAATTAGTAGAGTTGGCTCGGTGCCTGTGGCTCAAGTGGCTAAGGCACCAGCCACATACACCCAAGGTGGCGAGTTTGAATCCAGCCCAGGCCCTCCAAACAAAATGACGGCTGCAACCAAAAATAGCCGGGCGTTGTGGTGGGCGCCTGTGGTTCCAGCTACTTGGGTGGCTGAGGCAGGAGACTCGCTTGAGTCCAGGAGTTGGATGTTGCT